CCGAAGTAACAGAACTAGTTGTAAGTGATGATTCTGAAGTTGACTTCTTTTCCTTCGAAGCACGATTGTTTCTTTCCTTCCAAATGATCCAAAATATAGTAAGAGGGACGAGCATAAAAGTTTTCTTGTGACAGTTCAATCCTTCCCATGCAAGCAGCTCATCCAAAATTGATTTATGTTTGACCCAACATAACCTCATGAGGCCAAAAATAGTAGATCAAAGGCTATGAGAGACTGGACATCCCAAGAGTAGGTGATTATACGTTTTAGTGCTGTTTTTACAGAGAAAACATCTATTGATAATTGTAAAGTCTCTTTTCATTAAATTATCTAGTGTAAAAATGCAGTCTTTTATTGCTTCCCATGTAAAAAAGGAAATTTCTAGAGTGACACCCGATTTTTAAATAATATTAACTGAAAATTTCGTCTGTTCTTGTGGAATATTGCCGACCAAAGTCTTATACAGGGACTTAATTGAGAAATTACCAGATTTGGTGTGTTGTCATATGAGCTTGTCATTGTTGTCAATTAGGTGGATGTGAGATAGAGTTTGGAGCAGATGTTCATATTCCTCAATTTTCCAATCTTGCAAGTTTTTAGACATTATCACTTGCTATTGGTTCAGTTCGACAACATTTTTTACTAACATGTCTTTATATCTAACAATCACATAAATCATTGAAACTTTTGATTGAAATGCTTCTCTGTCATGCCAAAAATCTTTTCAGAAATGAATTTTGGTGTCGTTGTCGATGCTCCACCTAGAATTATGAATAATAAAGTTGTTTACATTTCAAATACCCCTTCATAGAGTAGAACCATAAGTACTGTTTTTTATTTTAGAGTTATCATTACAGTCTCCTTGAACCATTTACTCATAATGATTGATTTCCAAATGCTGTTGTTATCATTCCAGAATCTCCATATCTATTTTCCAAGTAGAGCTTTATTCAGTTGTCAATTGATCTCAGACCTAATCCACCTTCTTTGAATGGTTTCTTGATTTCTTTCCAATCCACTAGATGACTTTTCTGTTGTTGTTGTCACCATCACCCCAAAGGAAATTGCATGGTATGACCTCTAATTTGTTGGCAACATTGGTCGGAATAACTCTTTATAGACTCAAACAATCTTCAAGATCATGCTTCGACAAATGTACTAAGTAATCAAGATATTTAAATATAATCAATGTCAACCAGATCATGCAATACTTGTCAACCATGATCCTTTAGCAAAAAGGGCAATCGTCATCATATATGTAGATGATAATAATAATTATAGGGGATGGCGTAAAGGAAATACTCAAATAAAAAAAAATGTCTTGATTAAAGAATTTGAAATCAAAGACCTAAGAAATCTCAAATGCTTCTTGAAAATGGAAATTGCTAGGTGAAAAAAAGAATCTTAATTTCTCAGTGAAAATATGTGTTGGATCTCCTAAAATAGTTATGCAAAACCCATGACTAAGGAATGGAATCCAAAACTCACACATACAATTTAGCAAGCAAAATTTAAATTTCTAAGTAAACTCTCCCTACTTAACCTACAATCAACATGTAATTGAAAACTAAGATAATGAGAAAAAAAACAATAATTAATAAAATACTACGAGATTATCTTGATAAATAGAACCAATTGTCCACTCAAAAAAATAGTTGAAAATTCCTCTCAAAGAGCACTCGCAATAGCCAAAAGCTATCAAACAAAAGCTTATATTTTATTGATCTGAATTGAGTGATTACAACTAAATTAATGAAACCTTTATATAGCCATGCACTTTACTAATTTGAGTAGAAATCAAAAACTAAATTCTAAGAATACTTATCTTTAAACTTTATTTAGGACTCTAATAACAAAAATAAATTAAAGACTCATAATTAAAGTTGAAGTAGAGCTCTTCGCTCTTGAATTGTAGTCGGCTTAATCTTGAGAATTCTTCTTGGATTTGGAATGCATTATTTTACTGATTTTTAGTGTTGAAGATGACTTACATTAGAACCAATTTGAGATAGACAAGAACTCCTTTCCTTCGAGAAAATCAAGGACAATTGATCATGACGAGAAAATCAATGAGAAAATCTATGAGAAAATCTAGGAGAAAATTTAGGAAAAAATCTAGGAGACAAGTGGCCTTGAGGAGAACTTTCCCTTTTGAGTCTCTACTTGTTGAACTGGATGCAAACACTCATTCAATATGAGATTTAGGAAGAGATAAGCCAATTAGGATTCTTGAAAGATGGATCCCGTGAGTCCTTTATTAGATAAGGACTCCTTGTAACCAATGTATCTATAAAGAGTATTGGGTGAATTACGAATTCCCTCTATGAAGCTTATGAAATGTTATGTGACAATCAATTCACATGCAAAGAACCCTATTCATCATAATCAAACTAAACATGTAGAGATTGATAGACACTTTACTAAGGAGATAATAGGGTCAAGAGCACTATCATTATGGCATATTCAATCTTACCATCAAAACGCAGATATTTTCACAAAAGCATTACCTAAGAAGACTTTCAAAGAATTGAGTTTCAAGCCTAATTTGCTCGACATCTTCAACATAGTTTGAGGGGAAGTGTAGGAATCAAACTTCTTGTAGGATTCTAATTCCTATACACATTGGTATTTTCATAGAAATCTCCTTCTAAAGTAGAATCTTAGTTCGACTTCTATAACTGAAAGTTTTTTTTTTCCTTTCGTAAAACTGATTTGTATTTAGGTTCTTACTACAACTCTTTTTAATCTTCTCCTCTATATATCCAGCTATTATAAATAAAGTGTCATAAATAAAAATTCAGTAAACAGAAAATTCAATTACAAATTTTTCATATAGAATCCACAAGTAACAATACTGCGTACCTTTTATCAAACAAACAGCAAGGAAACTTTAGAATTCAGTGTCACTCTCACAATAATAAAAAGTAAGTGCACTGTAAAATACATTTTATGAGAGGAGCTAAAGTTGCCAATAATGGTTATCATTTAACATTAATATGAAATCAAGTGAATAAATAAACAACAGAATTCACATACAATAAAGCAAAAACTGAGAGAGAAATTACTTGCATATTCTTGTATACATTTAATGTATATCCCAAATCATGGGCATTGGCATTCATCAGACAGTTGAAAACGTAAACGTTTGGTGCAACATTCTGTTTGAGCAAGTCCTGCAACAAAATTCAGTGGTAAAGGCAAAAGCAAGTCACATCTCAAACAAAGCAAGTTCATACATGTGCATGTTTTTTTATGCTTGATAACGTAATTAACAGTTTAAAACTCATGCTGCAAGTCATATATGTCTGCAAGTGCTCATGTCCATGAGAAATTTTTCTAAGGACTATACAGTAATCTTTTTATTAAGAATCATAAACACACTACTAGCTAGCCAAAGAAAATTATAAATACACCAGTGTTTCCGTATAGGCCTACTAAACCATCCAGAACTTTGAAATCTGAATTTGATTGGTCAAAAGAAATTTACATCTTTGCAATATTACAAGCCAATCTCACTAATTAAGATTTTCCCATGAAAGAGTATAAGATCATGAATAATTGAAAAATTTTGGGAAGTAGACAAGGCAAATACCTCATATATGTACCTAGATTTCATATAGTCACCACAGAGACCACAAGCATCAATTGTTGTGCGGTATATGTACATGTTAGGGCCATCCAAGTTCTGTTTGGATGCTTCAAAGGCTGTCAAAGCGGAGACCAGATCACTTTTCTTTCCAAATTCGTGTATAATCCGGCAGAATAATATATGTGCATGTGGCAGAAGACATGCGTACCTGCAACATGGTTAGAGAATTAGCATTTCCCCTTGAACTCATTCTTATGATGATTGATAGAACAAAGAATCGGGTGGAAAATGACAAGAATGGAGATGAAAAATAAGTTCAATAATGTAACATATCACTGATATAAGAGATAGACTATTTAGAACTCATCTGCAGAACCGTTTCCCAGTAGGGCAAACCGACTATAAAGAACTTCTAAAGAACCGGAAAGAAAAAAAAGACACAATTGTTAGAAAGAAATGAAACATATATATACCTTATAGCCATCTCTACATTGCAATTGTCAACACAAATTTTTACTACGTTGTAAGGATCCACTAGTTCTTTGATTCTGAATTGGAAACCTGAAGAACCATGAAATCATCTCTCACTCAATTAGGGGAAACAAAAAAGAACTGTTAAGAATACCACATAATCTCTGGTCATCTTTCACTTGACAAACAGAATCCAAGATAAAGGACAGCTCCTCTTAAACGGATAATTACTTCACTTGCCATTCGCAGTTGCTAAATTAAAATTATATAAATGAATTATCTTCTAAGAAGATTACCCGCCAGAATCTCCATCAGACGAACAGTTTCCTCCACTTCACCGCAATTGACCATTCGACGAAACTCTTTTCTCATGTGCTCCATAGCTGACCCATCAAACATTTTCAGAGGAGCAATCCCTAGCTGGTCAACTTTCCGCATAGTCTCGGCAACACTACTAACCTTCCCTTCTCGAAGATTCCGTGAAATCCCCTTTGCTAGGAACCCAGCATTCAACAATCCTGCAAAACGCGACGCACTGACACCTGAAACGACAGGGTTTCCACAATCAATGCGAAGTCCTCAAGGCGGCCATCTTCGCGAGATTGGANGAGAGGAGGATGGCAATGGTGGTTTGGAGGGAGATAGCTTAGTAACTGGAAGCTTAGTTTTGGCCTGGTTGTGTGGTGGTGGTGGTGTTGCGGAGTGGCGATGGAAGAGCCGAGGATGATGACGAGGTCTTTCATTCCTGGCCAACTGTTGAAAAAAGATGGAGGTGGTGGTTTTGTTCGTTGTGGCAGCCAGGGGTTTTATGAGGTTCTTCTTTCCTTCTTTATTTTTGTTTCATCATTCTTTTTCTTTTTCTTTTTTTTTTTTAAAAAAAAAAATTGAGAGCGCAATTGGATTGAATTTGAAAGGCGGATGTCCTTCCTGAAAGAAAAAAAAAAAGGCATATGTTCTTATTGACCAGTCCGAATAATAGATTTTCTAATTTGTGGTATTTTATGCCCTTTACATCCATAATAATTTTTTTAAAAAGATAAATTATTAAATTAATTTATAATATTTAGTTACTTATTATAATTTAATTCTTAATTTTTTTTTATAATTTGGTATCTGATGCTATTCCAAACGTTTAATTTTGTTTTATTTTTTATTACAAAAAATTAAAATAGTTATATCATATTTAAATATTTTTTAAAAAATAATTTAATAATAAATTTAATTAATAATTAATGAATTAATAATAATATTATATATTTTTTTTATGTTATTGATTTATTAATTTAAGTTAAAATTATCTTTTTAAGTTAGTTTTTTAAAATATTTAAACGATAATCTAACTCTTTCAACTTTTTTTTATAAATAGAAAAAAATTTAACGTTTGAAATAAATAGAAAAAATGAATAACTAAATAATAATGAGAAATCATTAAAAATCAAACTGTACCCAGTGTTAAATTGGAGATTGATTTGGTAATTTGCCATTTTCCAACTTTTTACAATAAAAGAAGAGGCATAAAATCCATTACTTAAATTCACATCATTAAAGGAAATTATAAATATTAACTATCTAACAAAAAAATAATTTATTTCTACCAAGCAACTAGGTTTTTTTTTTTTTTTTTTATGCGGTGATTACTTTTGTCCAAGCCTTTATAAATTGAACTTAAATTTTTAAAAGATATTTTACATGCAATTTTTAAATTATTTCTGCATTATAATTTCTACTATCAAAATATTACAAAAATCGAATCTATATCACTAAAAGATAAGTAATAAATTAAAAATCTTAAAGCACATGAAAATTCATGTAGTAATAAGTATGTAAGGTGGCAAATATCATGATAAGTGGCAATAAGTGCATCAAACAAAAACCAAAAGACCATTCCTGTGGAGGAGACATCATATATCTTCCATAACATTCCTTTACTAAAAGTCACCATACCATTTATCTTCAAGATCATTTCCCTGCCATGATTATTAGCCAATCCATTATCCACTTATTAGAAAATTTGTGTGTTCTCTAAATAGGAGCAAATATGTGTGCAAAAGACTTGAGAGTTTGTGTATTGATATGAGTGTTGAAGTATATAAATATTTAGTTTTGTTGGGGTTCCTTACCTATATGAGATTTAAAAGCCCAAATATAAAGCAATTCATGTTATGGAATTGAAGTTATATTTATGTCAGTTAACTGAATATAAATATACCTTTCATTTTACAGTATCGTCATGTCCTCGTCATGATAGGTTTTTCTCTAAACTTTTGTTGGGTTTTCATCATAACTCTTGATTGGGTTTTTCTTGTCTATTACAATTACTATCTTCTCCTATTTGATGTAGTTTTTTGTTCTTTTCTCACTGCTCAATTTTTGTCTTCTTTTGTTATTTTTTTCTTTATTTATTTTATAAGGCCCTCATTGTTTTGTGTTCTTTTCTTATGGCTATGTAGGGTAAACAACATCAGTGTTTCGAGCTTTATAATAGTGTATTCATTTATGTCATTTATGGTGTCTTCTTCAAGGCAAAAAGAAGCATATATGGTGTTAATAGGGCAGAAGCTGAGGTTTGGGATCTAACAGGTCACATACTGGGAGATAATGTAGATGTGTTTTACCTATAGGGTGTGTT